GAAAGAAAGAAAGAAAGAAAGAAAGAAAGAAAGAAAGAAATCACAATTTTGGATTGCTGGAAATAATTTTTGACTATTCAAAATTAAATTTTTTAAAATAATTTTAGACACTGCATTCACAAAAAGCAATTCTAACCAACATACTAGAAACATAGAAAAGAAAATATAGAAAATATAAAAAACAAGCAAACAAATACATGGGTTCTCAAAAATTGTGACCAATGAAACTCCATGACTGGACTGCTGGAAATTATTTTTGACGATTGTTCAAAAAAATCTTTTATAGATACTGCACTCACAAAAAGCAATTCTAACAAATGAAATACTGAATACTAGAAACAATTACATGCACTATAGAAATTGCTATAACTTTTTAGGTTTGCTTTTATTTCCCTGATATTTCCAGGCATTCTTAAAAGTCCAGGGTTTTCATGAGAACCCATTAAACATTTCTTCTTCATTGTTGAAATGTTTAAAAATCCTCAAACACTCTTTCTTTCTGGGTTTCAATAAAAGAGAAGCAGCCAGATGTTCAATGTGGTGTCAGATGTGCCGAGCTCACAGTATCCATGCACACATGTGTCTCAGTGACTGCATCTAAACAGCTGTTCACACTCTTTCTTAACTGAATGTTTTCCTTTTCTTTCTGCTGATTATTCACAAACTGAGTGGGTCACACAGGCCAAACACGCTCCTCTACATCAAGGCAACATGTTCCCCACTGTAAAAAATGATCGTGATTTTAACGGTAAAAGACTGTAAAAATGCTACAGTAAAAACCTATTAACTGGTTAACGGTAAGTTCCCCTACTGTATACGGTGAAAAACAGATTTCAGAACTTCAGAACTCAGTATAATAACATTCAATCAGATGAATCAATGAAATACGATTTTTAAATGTAAATTTAAATTAAATTCATAAAACCAAAAATGCTGCTACTGTATTTTTTACGGTAAAATTCTGGCCGTAAATTTTACTGAATTTTTTCAGCAAGTGTGCTGATTTCTCTCATCCTAAAACTCTGTGTAAAGAGCAAATGACACTGACAACAGGCCTAATGCATCAAACACCAGCAGAACCAATTTCTGTGTAACCCGTTCACAAAACAATTCTTGCAAGGATGGATTTTACAAACAATTTACACCGAAATTCGTCATGCTTCTTATGTGTACTACATCTAAAGGACAAAATAAACTCCTCGCAAGACAAATGCGATTATAAACTGGCTATAATTCAGGGTCAGACGCCCATTTCTAACTACAACTTTGTGGTAATAACACATATTCTCCAATATTTTCTCAGAAACTAGGACTGCCAGCCTGTATGGTGCATAATTCATAGAGAAATGTTTAATCTTTCGATCTGCAACCGAAAAAATGCAGAGCGGAGCTCAAAACTGACTTTCTGAAGCAGCCAAGCTGCATCAACACCTCGTCCTGCAAAACCCCCCACGTTTGGATCTGCAGGCCAACATGGCTCATCTTCTTTGGCCTGACGGAGCTGTCTGAGTTTTGCAGTGAACCATGGTTTGTCATTGTTGTAAGTTAGATGAGTCCTGGTAGGAATGCACGTCTTCACAGAAACTGATATAAGATGTTACATACAGTCTCTGTGAGCTCGTCCAGATCGGTGGCAGCAGCTTCAAAGACGCTCCAATGAGGTCAAAACAAGCTTTTAAATCCTGCTCTGCTTCATTAGTCCATCTTTATACGGTCCTTAATACAGGTTTAGCTGATTTCAGTTTCTGCCTGTAGGTCGGTATAAGATGAACCAAACAGTGATCAGAGAGCCCCAAAGCTGCCCGTGGAACAGAGTGATATGCATTCTTTATTGTGGTGTAACAGTGATCCAATATATTACTGTCTCTGGTGGGACATGTGATGTGCTGTCTGTATTTTGGCAGTTCACGGGAGAGATTTGCTTTATTAAAGTCTATATATATATATATATATATATATATATATATATATATATTACCTTACAACAATGAAAATTAGATTTTTTTCAAAACAGGCTTCATTTTATTTATGCAAAATATGATATACTAAAATCTGATATAATTTCTATAAGACCATGCTTATATTTGAATATTAATATTTAAATATAAAATACCTCACTGTTATTAATCATACTAAAATAATAAGTAATAATTGTTATTCATATTTTTTTATTTAATTATTACTTTTTTCTTTATTACATTATTTTTGAATGACGGGAGGACAAGAACATTCACCGAACTGAAAGGAAGTAGAATTTTCTCAGAAACTAGGGCTATCAGCCTGTAATGCTCATTTTCATTGTTACAATGGAAAAATAAAGACATTTATTTCATATATAAGAATCAGAATGAGCTTTATTGCCAGGTATGTAGACACAATTTGTTTTCGTGACAGAAGCTTCCACAGTGTAACAGAATGACAGTGACAGAACAAAAAAACACAGATAATAAAAAATAAAAAATAGAACAAGTAAATAAGGAATAAAAATATATAAATCGACAATTGTATGTGCAGGTATATTACAATAGGCAGTTTTGTATGTACAGGTACTGTATATTATGTGCAAATATGAGGTGTAGACTGAGTATGTGTGTTAGATAAATAAGTGTATGAGTGTATAAATAAGTGTGTGTTCCACAGTTATTGTTAAGTGATCATGAGATGGATGGCCTGAGGGAAGAAAAGTTCCTGTGTCTGGCCATTCTGGTGCTCAGTGCTCTGTAGCGCCGACCAGATGGCAACAGTTCAAATTCCCCTGTCTGCGCGTCCTGAAGCGCTTGATCAGCACAGCAGCTCCGCCGACTACAATGTCCAGCAAAACATCAGAATAGTCGAAAACCGGTGAAATATCGGGTGGTGTGTACTGCCGAATGTCCAGCAATTCGTCGTTGGTGAAACTGATTGCAGGGATATAACTAAAGACAGGACGAACTAACAAAAACATAAAAACAACTGCGGAGCACGCCACGGAGGCAGCCATCAGCGTCGGCGCCATTTTCGATATATCTTCGATATATCTTCGATATATATTTATTCCTTAATATTTGTTTATTTAAAAATTATTTTAATTGTAGAATAAAATTGTAAGTAAATGTATAATGGCAGTATTTTTGGATTAAATTAAGATTTTAATGAAAAAATATTAATAAAATGTTGTGTCAAGATCAGTGTTACTTTGGAATCAGTGAATGACTATAATAGCTTTAAGAATTATTTTGTTTTTTTATAAATATTTTATTTGTATATTTTCCATTTTCATTATAATTTTAGTTAAAGTTTTAGTAATTTTATTGTGTTTTTGCTATTTTTAGTAGTTTTAGTATATGTCTATATAGTTTTTATAAATGTTTATTTTAGTTTTAGTTTTAGTTATTTTCAAGTTAAACTAAATAAAAATCAGAAATGTTGCCTTGGCAACTAGCTGAAATAAAAAGTTTTTTATATTTGATTTCAGTTAATGTTTATTTTATTTCAAGAAACGGAAACCTTTTTATGGTTTTAGTTTTAGTTAACTATAATAGCCCTGGTCCCGACTGGATGATGGATTTAACTAGATTTTACAACGCTGAGATTCTTTCTCATTATGCTAATGAGTATTTGCAGGGAAGATGTTGATTTTGAGTTCGTGTGTGTGTGTGTGTGTCTCACCGATGATACCGCTGTCTTTGCTCTCGAGGGTGGAGCTGGGGCTGATGATGGTTCCACAGACAGGACGGCCGCTGTTACTGTTTAAGGTGGAGCAGGGACTGTCCGTACACGGAGACGCCGTGCTGCTGGTCAGAGTAGAACATGGACTGATTCCCTGATTCACTGGACACTGCAGAGAGACAACAGAGAGACACGCTGATGTGCTGATGTCCAAACACTGTTATCTGGATTATATGAAGGGGCAGAAGAGAGATGAGAGAGAGAGAAAAGGATTGTAACGCCAATGTTGAGTTTAATGCACAACAGCTAAATCAATGCCAGAGTCTGAGGTTTCTCTTCAGTCAAATAAAACCAAAACTAATGAGGCAAAAAGCCTTGACATGCCACCAGAACCTCATCCAAAGACCCTTCACATGCCTCAAGCCAGAACTTCACAGAATACCTAGAGAAAACCACTGTAGCGTCTGGACCAATCAGACACACCATTTGTCATTTGATTTAACAAATCAATTATTCATTAGATTAACAAACATTCACAGACCCCTCACCCAATAAACATACTGGGTGCCAAAATGTCTGTGTTCCATAACTTCATTCTTTATTTCTCTCCTCTTTACTGCTTAAGCTTTAACCCTTTCCTATACCAACTGTATGCGTGTGTGTGTGTGTGTGTGTTTATGTAGTATATTAGACTAGTTTAAGTGTTTATGTAGTATGTTGGACTAGTTTAAGTGTTTATGTAGTTATTAAAGCCTTACTTGTATCACACTTGACGTTGGTCATTGTTTGCTCATAACTGCAGATTTATGCTACAGGCTCTGTGTAGAGTTGTACAGTAAGAAAGTTATTTCCCTTAACCAGGAAATTAACGTTCTTAGAATTGACAGACAGTTGACCCTGAGAGGTCAAGTAAATATCTACAGCGGATCTAAATATTTATAATTAATTATAACTAGTTATGATTAATTATTCATATTTCCCCATGAGCTGATTCGCTACACCACCTATTAGCATCTATATTCAAAATCTCAATAAACTTACTGACATGACAGAGTCACAAGGGTTTACAGTCATTTCCTGTTTCAAATGTTTCCTGTCACATTACAACAAAACTGCTTTCTATAATTAATGGCATGCTAATTATTAATATTTAGATATAAAACTGATTCATTGTCAGTAATTATATTATTATAATAAATATATTACCATTAAATATTATGGCAAAGTACTTCAGCTTTTAAATGTAAAAAAAAAAAGTTTTCTTTATTAATTAATCTCCAGTAAAGATTTTCAGACATTTTTGTCTTTAAGACCCAAAAACTAATTTTCAGAAACTTACTGTCTTGACATACAGTCATCAGGGTCCTCTTCTGTGCCATTTCTTGTTTTAAGGTTTTCATCACATGACAACAAAATGACTTCCTCCATGGTAATTATACCACACTGATATTTAAATATAAATCTGTTTTATTGTTCTTAATTATAATAATATAATATATAAATAATGATAATATTTAGATAATTTAGATAACAACAACAATACTTATTATTATTATTTCTACTATTTTTTTCCTTCTCGAGAGTCTCTCAGTCACCATCTGGGACTCAGCCACAACCTTGGGAGTTCCTCTCTAAGAGAGTACTTTGTGTAGGATGTATGCGTTCCCACAAAACACGATCTGTGCTTCAAAGACACTTGGCTTCCCTGGGATCTGATCCAGATATCGGTGGGAACCTTTCTTCATGCATCTCAGGGCTCCTTTCAAAACTGGCACTATCTTTGTTCTTGTGTTCCTCTTGTACTTGGTGAGCTTGTCGTTCTCTTTCTCCACTGGTATCATGACATCAACGAGCAGGCACATCTTGTCCTTCTCGTTGTGGACAATGATATCCGGGTGATTTACACTGATGGTCAAGTCGGTAAACACACCCTTGTCCCTCATGATGGTACAGTCGTTATTGTTCACTGCTGGTTGTGGGACAGTCTCATTCCACTTGTCGGGCACTTCAACACCAAGTTCCTTGCAAATCATCCGATGGATATAGCTTGCAACTTTATGTCGCTCCATATAGTCTGTGCCAGAAAGTGTGGAGCAACCAGAAATTGTGTGACTGACTGTTTACTCAGTTACTCCACACATTCTACATCTACCGTCGTACCTGGTGTTAAGTGCTTGATCCTGGGCAGCGATGATCAGACTGGCTTCCTTGTCTACAAACGGCTCATTCAGATATTTGAAGAACTTGCCGTGGAGAGCCTTCTCCTTCACACACTCGATCCGATCTCGTTCGATATTCTCTCTCAGTGCTCGACCTTCATCCAGAACTCCAGCTTGGCTTTCCGCCCACTGTTTTAGCGCTCTCTGGATGATCCTCGTGCCTGGGAAGGCCATGGCAACAGCCATATCACCCTGTAGCCCAAGACCGGTTGCCCACTGAAGCTAAGCAGGGTTGAGCCTGGTCAGTACCTGGATGGGAGACCTCCTGGGAAAACTAGGTGCTGCTGGAAGAGGTGTTAGTGAGGCCAGCAGAGGGTGCTGCTCACCCTGTGGTCTGTGTGGGTCCTAACGCCCCAGTATAGTCACGGGGACACTATACTGTAAAAAACACTGTCCTTCTGATGGTCCTGACTCTTTGTGGTCACTAAAAATCCCATGGCACTTCTCGTAAAGAGTATGGGTGTAACCCCGGTGTCCTGGCCGAATTCCCTCCACTGGCCCTTGTCAATCATGGTCTCCCTAATAATCCCCATCCACTGAATTGGCTCTGTCTCTCTCTCCTCTCCACCTGCAGCTGGTGTGTAGCGCACTGGCGCCGTTGCTCTGAGGCTGCCGTCGCATCATCCAAGTGGATGCTGCACACTGGTGGTGGTTGAGGAGAGACCCCTCATATGATTGTAACATGATTTGGGTGTACAGCAGTACACATATAGTGCTATATAAATCCCTCATTCATTCATTCATAGTGTTTGCGGATCTCATTCGCCGTCTTCTTCAGGGTATACTTGGTTTTACTGGCTTCATGCTTCTTCACCATACTCATGAGCGGTGTTGGGGAAAGTTACTTTTAAAAGTAATGCATTACAATATTGCATTACTTCCTAAAAAAATAATTAATTACGTTACTTAGTTACTTTTTATGGTAAGTAATGCGTTATGTTACTTTTGCGTTACTTTTTCTCATCTGCCTTGGCCTCGTTTTTCTCTCTTCAGAAACAACAACAACAACAACAACAACAACAAAAGAAACACAAATGGTATGTTTATCTAAAGTAATTTTTGCTTATTAGTATGGTTGATCATCGAAAGTCAGCAGCAGCATTAATAAAATGGAATTAAATACATAAATGATATTTGTGTTATTTAACATGTTTGCGTCATGTCCTGAGTTTGCATTTGACGGTTTTTATTCATTTTGAGGAATACTGAATCTGTTTTTGTGTGAGTGAAATGAGTAAATGCATGTTGACATTGAGTCTAGAGCTACAGTAACATCATGTTCACACAGCCTCTGCACACAACGCCTCTGCACTCGCTCCTGATTTCTCTCAACATGAGAACAGGAGAGCTGTCAGTCAATACATGGGAAACAGTAACTCAGAAAAAGTAACTCAGATATTTTCTTGTAAATTAAAAAGTAATGCATTACTTTACTAGTTACTTGAAAAAAGTAATCTGATTACGTAACCCGCGTTTCCTGGTAATACTTTACCCCCAACACTGTTCATGAGCTTGTCACTATCTTGCTCAATGTATTTGCTAAGGCCGACGATGGCGATGTTGTACGCAGACTCCAGCTCAATAAGCCTGCTGCCACCGTCGCGTCTCTTGATGTACAATCGGTCTGTGTCTGCTTTCGGATGGTGCATGCCATGCATCGTTAGCAATTTCCTTGTCTTTCCACCTTCCTGATCTCCTCTACTCTCCAATCCATCGTGCCGAAGCTGTATGTGGGGACAGGGACTGCTAAACTGTTGATAGCACTGATCTTGTTCTTGGCATTGAGCTTGCTCCTAAGTGCCAGACGGACTCGGCAGTAGTACTCCTTGATGATCTTACTTTTCATCTCATTGTGCTGAATACCATCGCCTTCATCGATGCCTAGGTACTTGTACATTTTGTCCTGCTCGAGGTTTTTGATGGATGAACCTCTGCTCAGCTGGATGTTGTGGCTATTGACGCGTACGTCTCTCATGTAGACAACAGTTGCGCATTTGTCTTGTCCAAACTCCAATCGGATGTCGTCACTGAACGTCTTGATAATGTGCATTACCTGCTTGAGCTGCTTCTCGTCTCTACCGAAGATCTTGAGGTCGTCCATGTAGAACAGATGGCTCATGATGTTCTTGTCGTCGACTGCATATCCCATACCTTGCCAGTTCAACATTTATTAATAATAATTATTATTATTATGATATTTAAATATAAAACTGTTTCACTGTAATTAATTAGATTAGTACTACTAAGTATTTCAGCGTTTAAATGGTAATGATTTGAAATTTACACCCACTAGACATTTTTGACTTTAAAATCAAATCAAAAATATCAACATTTTTAAAAACTTACTGACCCAACATTCAATCATGAGGGTCCACAGCGGTCCTCGATGTCATTTCTTGCTTAAAGTGTTTCTTGTCACATAACAACAAAATTGCTTCATGTTGATTACACCACACTGTGATATTAAATTTTAATATTTGAATATAGAACTGCTAAACTATTATTATTATTATTATTATTATTAATAATAATACATTTAAATGTACAACTATTTCACTGTTTATTATTATTATTATTATTATTATTATTAATAATATACATTTAAATATACAATTATTCTACTGTTTATGATGATGATTATTATAATTATTATGCCAATAATTATGCCATTTTTTTCAAGTATTTCAGCTTTTAAATGTTAATTATTTTTTGACACTCAGACATAGACATGTTTGACATCAAGACCCACAAAAATTATTTTCAATTAATTTTCAATTAATTAATTTCAATTCAGACTTTGAAAACAGGTGCTTTCATTTCACTGTCTGGGTGAATTTATTTCTGAACACGTTTTTGAATAACATAACAGGTCTAGACAAAATAAAATGAAATACCATCACGTTATTGACTGTTCAACAGCCTGAATTAAGCAGATTGTTTACATCCTTTTCTCTTAGACCCCAAACACCAGCAGCCCCTCTGAGTCATCGCTGGACTGTGAGTAAGTCAAGGTCACAAAACCAGATGAAAGTTCCTTTAAAACAAACTTCCAGCCGGCAGTCTGATGAAACAGATTAAAGACCTTCACCGAATCCCACTGGACAACATCGTCCAAGAACACACGACGCAGATCATTACCAATTCTTTAAAAGACGCACATTGTTGCTTCCCTCTTCATGCAATTCCCACAGGCACTCAGAGCGACGAAGCATTATGATTTATTAAACAAAAGCATTGCACATGAAGGGCGTTCGGACCACAGCCTCAGCTTAATTATCTCATCATCTGAAACCCTGACAGAACAAAACTATTTCTGGAGCAGACCTCAAGTTAACATGACTCAAGTTTCTGGTCGCCGGCTCTGCAGCGGTTCAGAGCGAACGGGAATGACTTACTGTGGTGGCACACAGACACACTCCTCATCACGTCTCACACTGACAGACGGCAAACACGCGGCTTTAATCCTTGACGTTTTCTCCCGTCTGTCTCACCGTCTCGCTCTCTCACTCTGGCAGCGGCTGCGGAAAATACCTTTTTTTCATTCTTGTCGTCCATAGGTATGCGCGTGGAGCCCGGGATGCCTTCGCCCAGCAAGAACCCCAAGCGTGTCATCAACTCCTGAGTGGCGGGGGAGGGGCCTGGAGAGAGAGAGAGAGAGAGAGACCTTACAGGATCTGCGCAGATACACACCAGCGACTGCAACATATTCATTCACAGCCATTCACCGGAACAAGCACAAGATGGGAGTCACAAGGAATGTCATGATTCAGAACTCAAACTGACTATGTGCTTCTGACTAGAACAGAATCGAATACAATAGTTTTATTGTCATTGTTTTTGAAACAACAAAAGACTGTTTAGCAGCTCACAAGGTTTGGCATAATACAAAAAAAGTACAGATACAAATAGAGATATTAAACTAGAAGAGAGGTAATCCAGAAGGTAATAGTGCAAAATATCGTACTATAAAATATATACAATGGTTTGTGCCAGACAGAGTACTTTGTCGAAATAAACAATGTAGTGCTGAGAACAATATACATAATATGTGTATACTAAATGTTAAGGATAGCAATATATACACTGAAATGAGTGACAAAAAATATTGACCTTTTTCATGATATTCTAATTTTTTTAGATGCACCTGTATGTACATATATACACACACACCCTCACACACATACACACATACTGTATATATATATATATATATATACACATTCTATTTGTACAGACTATTCTTACTATTTAAATTTAAACCATTGATTCTGGCCAAAATATCCATAATCCATAATAACGCTTCTTCCAGTGAAAAAGATACACTGTTTACAATCCAATAATTTCCTGACAAATAAAATCACGTCCTATATCACATTTTCCAATTAAATTACAATGAATGAGAAAGTAAAAAGTGCAACGCGGAAGAGAACCAAATCCGGTAACAACATGCTGTCATCTTGTGAAGCCAAAATCTGCATGTTTGTAAGAAACAAATCCATCATTAAGGTACTTTAACTTGAAACAGTCACTTCTGGCCAAAATATGAGTCCATAATCCATAATAACGCTTCCTCGAGTGAAAAAGTCCATCTCCTGTTGTCTCTCACATCAAAATCCACACACGTATTTCTGTAGAACTGTTTTAGGCTGCTTCAGTTTGTAAACAGTGCTTGATCTGTGCAGATTTCTCTCCTGATTCAGATAAGATTATTTTTTCATTGGAGAAAGCAATATTTTGGATTGAGGACTCATATTTTAGCCGGAAGCAATGGTTTGATGTTAAAAATGCCTAAATGATTTGTTTCATCATTTTGTTTTCAAATTTGTACGGACACACAGTTTTTGTCTTCTCCAGATGTTAACTGATGGACTGGAGTGGTGTGGATTACTTGTGGATTATTGTGATGTTTTTATCAGCTGTTTGGACTCTCATTCTGACGGCACCCATTCACTCCAATGGTGAGCAAGTGAGGAATGCTACATTTCTCCAAATCTGATGAAGAAACAAACTCATCTATATCTGGGATGGCCTGAGGGTGAGTACATTTTCAGCAAAATTTCATTTTTGGGTGAACTATTGCTTTAGTTAGAAACACTGATGAACAAAACAAAACAGTGCAAAAATATGAAAGATAAAAGTGAAAGTCTCTATAGAGAGTTTATGAGCAAATAATGACTCAAATGTTCCTCAAACAACTCATACGACTTAGAAAAGTAACACTGTAGCACAGAAAAAGATAAAATGCATGCATAAAGATAAAAAAGCAACATGAGGGTGAGTGAATAAACAAAATTTTCACTGCCTGTGAACTATTTCTTCAGTCTGTATGAAGTGAAAGCAGGTATGAATATGTGATCATGAGAATGAACAGATGAAGGGGAGTTTGTTATTAATTTCCATTTTCTCATTACTCTCATCTCTCTCATCTCAGTGCCACACATATTAATAACAAGCATTCCTGTAGATTCAGAGCGCTCACACAAAGCTCTCTCTCAGCACACAAGTCTGGATCTAAAAGAGCCTCAAAATACATTTTTGAAAATTTGATTCCAAAATCTGAAGGCTAATTCACATTCACAAACAAAAGTTAATTTTTATTTATTTAAACTCATATCTGATTGGCTAAAGAGAATGTATAAAAAACACAAACTTGTAAATCTGTGCCTGGCAGGAAAGTCTGCAAATAGGCACATAAATTCACAGTGATCAACGATTTGCAAATACACATTCAACAATCAGTTCATACACATACAAACATATAGAAATGTGCAAACATACTTGGATATTCATGAATTGTTTTTGCATTTGAGGATATTTGGTTGTGCATTTGCAAATTGTATTTTGTTAATATGAATAAGGTTTTGAGTTTGCAAATATATAAACGTTTGTTTGTGAGTGTGAATTAGCTTAAGCATCGCTCATAACCGCACATGAACACACGTCTCCATCACTGGCATTATTGATCTGAGCCTCTGCTGCAGGATTTACCCAGAGATCCACAAACACCATCACACACATTACAACAGCAAGCCTCAACACAGCCATGCTGAGCTATTTCTGGAAAAACATCCCTTTAGAACATCATGGCCTGAGATTCATTTCACAAAACACAAGGTATTTCAGTCCTTTAGACGTCTTGAATGGGGAGATCGATTCACTTTGGAGGGAAAGCAGCACTTGTGATACTAAGGCCTGCACACTAGACGATTTTCAAATGTTAAAACTGTGGGAGACCACAGACATAATGACAGTTTCAACCGATTTTTAGCCTTATAATCCTCTGAATGCACAAACTAGAGGATCCGGCAGGACCGCGAGACCACACACCTGTCGATTGTAGGAATTATTTCACAGTGACTCGCGAGATCAAACGTGATTTAAGAAGAAAAGCACATGGAGGACAATCGACGTTGTCAGCTGGCTCTCCTGGCGCTCGTTCTGTTGTACAGTGAAAAACAAAAGAGAAAAAAAGAATATGGGTGATATTCTTTCTCAATACTCCACTGTCAAGTTTCAGCTATAGAAGCACACAACATCCGGTAGGTGACGCTTGTTCGCTCTCATTGGCTATCGCAGGGATCACGTTAAGAGGCAGCCCCATCAAGAGTCGTAAATTTCAAACATGTTTGATATTTATGCTTTGGGATCATGGAGGCTCTGATGCGATCGGGCGCAGTAAAATAATCGTAATGACACCACACAATTGAGGATGTTTTGGACAAAAAGTTGGTTGAGACAAGCCTCGAATCAGGCCTCACCCTCACGATCATTGGGGGGTGCAAATCGGGCTCAAAATCGGGTGTAGCCAGCCTAAGATATCCAAAACATGCAACTACCTGACTGCATTTACATTTATAGTTATTAGATAATTAAGTCAAATGGCATTGAATCGTGAAAATAATCTGATTGTTTAGAAAAGATTGAAAAAAATCAAATCAAATCTGATTGAAAGATAAAACCACAACCAATTTCAGTCATTTATAGTCATATTTAGTCTTTCTAACAACTATACTACCGTCCAAAAGTTTGGGGTGAGTACGAT